GAGAGAGAGAGAGAGAGAGAGAGAAGAGAGAGAGAGAGAGGAGGAGAGAGGAGTGCACGGCGGGAAACACAAAACGCCGGCGGATGATCAGTGCTGCCGTCGCTTCAATTTGATTCTCTGTTGCTTGCTGCCTCAAACTCTATTCGTGGCTTTGTGATTATTCCTGAATGCAGGGTTTTCTTAGATTATATATTTGTCTGTTAATATACGACAGACTGACACTGCGACATCAGATGACAATAATAATAATAATAAGACGGTAATTTGTGATGGAATGATGGGGATATCATTGCTATGTTTCTGGTCGATCCTTGTAAAGGATTTGCAGCTTCTCATGTGCCATATCTTCCGAAGTTAACCCGTGATCGTTCCCTAGTTCGCACGTCTTCCACTGGATGGCGCCAATAGTATATCAAAAGCGTGGTGGTGACGAGTGAAGTGTGTGGGTGTGAAATTAAACTAGGATTACGACCGTGTCGGTGTAGCAGTGTTCCTCGAGTTTATCCCACCGGTCTTCACATTCCCTATTTCATTTATTCGTAAGTGTTTTCCGGGGGTTATTTTTAGGCGTATTGTTGTTTTTTTTAATCGATGTTGAACTTTGATTCTGTGATCTCTAAGATATGTGTTGTCTATAATATACGTGATTGGGGCGTGTGTGCGTGCTGGGGTCAAACCCACATGCTATCAAAGAACCACTGCGTTACAGCGTTCTCTTTCTCTCGCACGATTGCAATGAATTGGTCATTAAACATGGCAGAATCCACCCACGATTGGTTCACAGCGATAACAACGCCATCTAGTGGGGACAGAACAGAAACACGTACATTTATCTACACGTAGATTTTAATACACGTAAGATTTTATTCATATTTAAAACGTGAGCGATCATAAATAGAAAGCTTTAATACGGAGGGACATCTTCTCTAGTAATCCCTCCTATCCCTCGATTCCCACCATCTACATCAGTGATGGCAGATACAAATAGCTGCATGGGTAACAACTGGGGGAAATGGGATCAGCAATTAAGTAAAGGTGCTCCGTATATAATTACTTCGTATAATATATCCTTGTCTGCTGCACACAAAGATTTGTACCGAACGCATGTATGTGCAATTGTGCATAAATGTGAACGATACACTATATAATACATTAGCTTAAAATACACATCAACAAGCTTGTGAACTAAACAACAACAAGCTCATGAAGTAAACAAGTTTGTTACGTAAACAACAAGCTTGAAGTAAACAACAACAAGCTGGTGAAGTTAACAATAACAAGCTTGTGACGTAAACAACAAGCTTGTGAAGTAACACAACAACACGCTGGTGAAGTAAACAATAACAAGCTTGTGAAATAAACATCAACAAGCTGGTGGAGTAAACAACAACAAGCTCATTAAGTAAACAATAACAAGCTTGCGGAGTAAATAAGGCACGTTTCCTCGCGGCGCCCTGGCACGCCCTCCGGTGGTGAAACCCGAAGCTTCACTTGAACGACGGGAACTTCCACCTCAAGATGGCGCCATCAGCGCTGACGCTGACGATGTGGCGCGTGTGTGGGCAGATGCGCAGCCCGCGTGATGTTTACCGCCGCTGACCCAGCCACGGTGTCACCTCTCTGCCCTCGTTGTACTGTCCACCACCTGTGTCACAACACAACATCGTTGATCATGTTCAATGGCTAACGCTCGCATTAGGAGTGCTTCCAAACTATTGATAATCATTAACTGATTGATATCCTACCCCTAAACCTAACCCTAACCTTAAATGACATTAAACCACTAAACTAAATATGACCATGACCGATGTATATAGAGTATATATATATTATATATGTTATATTGGACCATTATGACATTAAATGTTGGGAACACTCCTATGGAGTATCACCCCATGTCTATAGACAGATACGTGATACATAACGTATTATCTGTACCGCTGTGTACACATTATTGTACAGCTGTGTTTACACAACGTTATAGTAACAGCCTGTGTTTATACATGTTGTTATAGTACAGCTGTCTAACAATACATAACCTGGTTATCGCACACTGTTGAAACTCATATATACGCCCTGCCCGTGCTTGTCCTTGTACTTATAGAAGCAAACACGGCTTGACTAGACATCAATATTATATATAAACTATCAACATCCTGGAACACTTCCATTACGGCCAAAACAAAATACATGTGCGTTTACCGCTTACATGGCGCAAAAAATAGGGTAGGTAGCGTAGGGAAAACATTTAATTTTCTTGAAAATATTTTATTTACGAACCATGTCCTAAGGATGTGCGTTTGCCGTTTTGAGCAGGAACTGCTCCAATTCATATTTTTATTTTATTTTTATTTGTTTGCTGCTTAAGAAAAATTGACAATAAAAGTTTAGGGTCGGTCGGGAAAACCTGTAACCACACCTATATTTTGTTTGCGCCTTCTTATAGAATACATCAATGAGCTCGCTTCTATTGACACAGCAGTGATCAGTAGAAAATCATCAAGAACACGAAAGCGTAAAACGAATTCAAATTTTCAATTTCCGAAAAATCAAACTGCATAAGTTCTCGCAACACACATAGGGTGGCGCTAAGGAGACGAGCGCAGGACCGTAACCTCCCCCCCCCGCGCTCGCGCCCCGCACAGCGCTCCCTGTCGGCGCGCACCTGATGAGTTTGTTCGTCACCGCCGCTGGACGAAGTGTTTCGCCGTCTGCAAGATGTTCGAGAGCGTGACCTCGACGGAGATGGATCCGTCCAGCTCGCGAATCTGCTGGACCATCGTACGATCAGTACCCTGCAACGACGACGACGACGCGCATGCGGACCGGCAGAGCAGGCGGGCGCGCCCGTCGCCGCAACAGGGTAAGGCAAGCTTCCTCTCATTAAATGTAGAGATAGCGGACTCCAAACATGGTTTACTATAATATAGTTGGAAACTACAGTATAGCATATATATATATATATAATATATATATATATAGTTGCTTCAGTTAATCCATTTATTATATTCATTATTATATATATAAGTTATAATAAGAAAATAGCTTTAAATCTGCAGTGGAGAATTCATTTGATTTTTATTTACTAACCCTCATTTTGCCACAAATCGTGGCGAGCATTGCATCATGGCGACGCCACAAGGGAAACAATTCGAGGAGAGGCTTGTGCCTTTAGAAACCCCTCCTCTCCGTTCCCCTCCTTCGCCCCCCTCACATAACTCAGACCCGCCTCACACGGCACACCCTCCTCTCCACCAGCTTTACCATGGCGGCGCCGGTCGCAGTAATTTACCTAATTAAATTGTTACAGCAAGCGTTCATTGATCAAGAAAGCTGAGGCTCAGTTTCGTTATTCATTAAGCTGTGTTGTGATTCCCTCACGGATAGCTGCCTTCGCTTGCGCCTGGTGGCGCGGGCGGCATGGAGGGATACGCGCGATCGCGATGGGTGCTAGGTGATTGCCGTGCCATGTACAGTACTGCAGGCAAGACTAGCATCTAGCTATGTCTACCACGTGGAGGTGTGCAGCCGGTAGGGCGAGGGGTTGGCATGGTGGAGTGAGTGAGGTGAGGTGAGGTGAGGTGGTGTAGGTTGAGCGTTGAGGTGCTAACAAACCCACAAACCAACACTCAAACACACGCCGGTGAAAACATAACCTCCGCCAAGCCCCTGGCAGAGGTAACTATCCACATCCTGACAACTTCCATTATTATAGGATGCATCAATGAGCTCGCTACTACTGAGACACAGCAGTGATCAGTAGAAATCATCAAGAACACAAAAGCGTAAACGAAATTCAATTTCAATTTCGAAAATCAAACTGCATAGTTCCTCGCAACACACATAGGTGGCGCTAAGAGACGAGCGCAGACCGTAAACCTCCCCCCACCGCGCTCGCGCCACCGCACAGCGCTCACTGGTGGCGCACCTTGATGAGTTTGTCGTCACCGCCGGTCACGAAGTGTTCGCCGTCTGCGGAGATGTCGAGAGCGTTGATCGATCCGGAGATGGATCCGTCCAGCTCGCGGATCTGTGATCCATCGTACGACTCCCAGTACCCTGCAACGACGACGACGACGCGCATGGGACGGGCGAGCAGGCGGGGCGGCGTCGCCGCAACAGGGTAAGGCAAGCTTCCTCTCATTAAATGTAGATGCATAGGCGCTCCCAACAGGTTACTATATAGTTGGAAACTACAGTATATATATATATAGTTATTCAGTTACATCCATTTATTATATTCATTATTATATATATAAGTTATAATAATAATAGTTTAAAATCTGCAGTGAGAATTCATGATTTTTTTTTACTAAACCCTCATTTGCACTAAATCGTGGCGAGCCATGCATCAATGACGACCCACAAGGGAAAACGATTCGAGGAGAGGCTTGTGCCTTTAGAACCCCTCCCCTCCCTCCCCTCCTTGCCCCCCTCACATACCTCAGACCCGCCTCACCACGGCACACCCCTCCTCTCCCACCAGCTTTACCATGGCGGGCGGTCGCAGTAATTTACCTAATTAAATTGTTACAGCAGCGTTCATGATCAGAAGCTGAGCTCATTCGTTATTCATTAGCTGTGTTGTGATTCCCTCATGGATAGCTGCCTTCGCTCGCTGCGTGGCGCGGGCGGATGGAGGGATACGCGCGATCGCGATGGGTGCTAGGTGATTGCCGTGCCATGTACAGTACTGCAGGCAAGACTAGCATGTAGTACTCTACACGTGAGGTGCAGGGTAGGGCGAGGGGTTGCATGGTGGCGTGAGGTGAGGTGAGGTGAGGTGAGGTGAGGTGAGGT